CCCACTCCACAGAGTGGCGGAAGTAGATACAAAGGGGGGTGCGGAGCCACCTGGAATGCGTATTCAAGTGGCTACTTAGGATGTTGCCATCTTGAGTGAGGCGGAAGTACTAGATTTCCAGTTTAGCAAAGAAAGAAGGGGTGAGATGGTTCTAAACGGTGTAGAAAATCAGTTGTGTGTTTTTTTTTTTAAAGGCATCCTGGCTTTCCTAAAGAAGAAAACAACTTCAATCTAAAAATCTTTTGATGTTTTTTGTATTGAAGCATAGCCACAGTACTAGGGTCCCTCTCCTAGTCAAACCGCCCAAGCAGAAGCATGGGTCATTGTGCATTACCTGTGAGACAGTGCCTTCAACCTGAGGCGCAGCGCTTTGTGTCCAAAGTTCCAGGGACAAAATACTATTGACTCTACCGCAGAATAGCTCTGAAATCGAAGCCCATTGCTTCAATCATGTTTTCATCTTCTGACTAAATACAAAAGGTCTTCCTGCAGCCCAGAGATTTGCCAATTCTTCTTCCCTCTAGAATTTCTTCCACATCACAAAAGCAAGGGTGTTCTACCACACATAAAATCAAACATTATTGTCTCACAGCTTTACCTCTTAAAATACTTCAAAATATACAGGATATACAGCCCAAACTTCTCAATATTGTCCTCTCTGTATCCTGGTCCCTGCTTATTTCTCTTTATCTACATTTTCCCACATCCCACTCACACAGAACAGTTACTACACTTAACTTCATTTATGCATTATACATACAGTTCCCTGTTTACAAACTCTTAATTCCCATCCCCTTGCTTCTTCTGGATTCACATAACACCTACCACACAGTATTTCTAATCTATGATATATGCCTGGCTGACTCCTGCCATTAGATTTGCACTTTTTGTATAGGACACCAGGTCTTACTAATTTTTTTAAGAAATCCCTACAACATCCTGTACCAGGCCCAATCATGAGCTCAATCAATGTTGGTAAAATAAAGAAGTGAAGACCCAGGGCAGAGAAACCAGCTGCCTGTAGCTGCCAATTTCCCTTCAAAAACCCACCAAAGTATTTTACAGGTTGGCCCAATCTTGCCCATAGCTGAGCCCAGAGGGAATTTGTTCTTGAGTTAAATGGTGGTGAAGTGGGAAACCGGTAAGAGTGAAGAAATCTGTTCTGCCTCAGCTTAGGAAGGTCTAGTTCTGCCTCTATCTTGATCCTGCTTTTCCCAAGTGCTGCAAAAGGTTAACAAGTTATTTTTTCCAATCTCAAATTTCTTAGAAATTCATCCATCACACAATCAAGAAGTAAAGATTGAGTACTATGCAAGGGCCAAATTCTTTTCATAGCAAAGGAACTCAATTCTGGCCTTAAGGAATATATGTCTTATATGAAGGCCAGGTGTCATCATCATTAGAAAACCCCACTGATTTCAATTTAGCAAACACACATTATTTTGCCCCAACTTCCCTTTCTGCCTTCACCCAAGAGCTCAAACTGACCTACGAGACAGGACAAAACAAAGCCCTGCCAGTCTGGATGCTCACATCCCCACCAAGACATTTGAGTCACCATAACTTCCTTGCCTTCCACATCCCTCAGGTGCTAACTCAAACAAAGCAGAGACCTGACAAAATGGAGCCGAGATGCTGTTTGAGTGAACACTTTTAAAAAAGTGCCTCTGAACTTTGGCCACTATACACTGCAGATTTTTGTGAAAGAGTGATTGCCTATGAAGGAAAGAGGAATGCCAAGCTTAAGCAGCTGGGAAGGAATGGGGAAGGTTCTTGATTCTTGAAAAAACTTCAGTTAGTGTGGAACTGCTTCCAAGCTCTGGCTAGCTCTGGTAATGTTTTCCCTATTTGCCTTTGGAAATGGGCAAAGCTGGAGGTAAATCCCCTATTCCAAGAAAGCTAGCTCAAAGACACAGACTTTTCTGCTCACGTATCAGCTAAAACATGGATGAACTTTGAAATTATGTCAAGTCAGACAAAGGCCACATACAGTGTGATTTCATTCATATGTAATGTCCAGAATAAGCAAATCTAGAGACAGAAAGTAGATTAAGGGGTTGTGAGGGGTGAGAAAGGAGGGGAATGTGGAGTGACTGCTAATGGGTACCAAGTTACTTTTGGAGGGATAATGAAAATATTCTGGAATTAGTAGTTGTGGTCACCATTATGAGTCTACTAAAAACCATTAATTGACAACAACAAATGTTGGTGAGGATGTGGAGAAAGGGGAACCCTCTTACACTGCTGGTGGGAATGTAAACTAGTTCAACGATTGTGGAAAGCAGTATGGAGGTTCCTCAAAAAACTCAAATTAGAAATATCATTTGACCCAGGAATTCCACTCCTAGGAATTTATCCTAAGAATGCAGCAGCCCAGTTTGAAAAAGACAAATGCACCCCTATGTTTATTGCAGCACTATTCACAATAGCCAAGAAATGGGAGCAACCTAAGTGTCCATCAGTAGATGAATGGATAAAGAAGATGTGGTACATATACACAATGGAACATTATTCAGCCATAAGAAAACAAATCCTACCATTTGCAACAACATGGATGGAGCTAGAGGGTATTATGCTCAGTGAAATAAGCCAGGCGGAGAAATAAAAGTACCAAATGATTTCACTCATATGTGGAATATAAGAATAAAGAAAAAACTGAAGGGAACAAAACAGCAGCAGAATCACAGAACCCAAGAATGGACTAACAGTTGCCAAAGGGAAAAGGACTGGGGAGGACGGGTGGGAAGGGAGGGATGGGGGGGGAACAAAGGGAGCCTTACGATTAGCATGTATAATGTGGGGGGAGGGCATGGGAGGGCTGTACAACACAGAGAAGACAAGTAGTGATTCTACAACATCTTACTACACTGATGGACAGTGACTGAAATGGGGAATGTGGGGGGAACCTGGTGATGGGGGGAGTCTAGTAAACATAATGTTCCTAATGTAATTGTAATGATAGCAAAAAAAAAAAAAACCACAGAGATATCTTACATCTACTAGCATGGCTATAATCAAAACAAAGAAGGAAAGAAGTTAGGAAGGAAGGGAGGGAGGGAAAGAAAAGACCACATTGGTGAGGATGTGGAGAAATTGGAGCCCTTACTCACTGCTGGTAGGAACGTAAAATGGTACAGCCAGCATGGAAAATAGTCAAGCAGTCCCTCAAAAAATTAAACATAGAGTTACCATATGACACACAGCAATCTCACTCCTAGAGCAGCTGATCCTCATTACCTGTGGATTCTGTATTTGCAAATTTGCCTACTTGCTAAAAATTTTTGTAACATCCAAATAATCCTCATGAAGCTTTCACCATGGTTCAAACACGTGTATGCACAGTGGTGAAAATCTGGGGTCTTCTGACACACTCCCAGGAGAGGATGAACAAGGTGAGCTCTGTCTTATTTCAGCTCTCACTGCTAACAAGTGTTCTTTTCACAGTCCATTTAGTGCCATTTTCATCTTTTTGTGCTTTTTGTTGGCAATTTCATTGTTTAAAATGCCCCAAAGTGTAGCGTGTGAGCCGTCTACTGTTCCTAAGCTCCAGAAAGCTGTGAGGTGCCTGACGGAGAAACCTCTGTGTAGATAAGCTTCACCTAGGCTAAGTCACAGTGCTGTTGGTAATGAATCAACAATATACATCTGACAAGGTGTCTTGAAACAGAAACACATACAAAACAGGTCATGTATTGATTGGTTGTCAAAAATATGACCAGAGGCCAAAAGGAACCTAATCCTGGGTTTCCCTGCAGAGCAACAACTCAGTATTCACCAGCTCAGCATTTGCAGCAACTTTATGGAATATAACTACCACAAATAAGGGCAACTGGCTGTAGCTACACAAGAGAATTGAAAACATATGTTCATAAAAAGCCTGAACATGTATGTTCCTAGCAGCATTATCTGTAACAGCCAAGGAAAGACTCGACTGTCCATCACCTGATGAGTGGATAACAAAATGTGGTCCATCCCCCAGTGGGATATTATTCAGCCATGAAGCACTAATGCCTGCTACAGCATAGATGAACCTTGAAAACACTGTGCTAAGTGAAAGCCAGATTCCATTTACATGAAATGTCCAGAATAGGCAAGTCTACAGAGACAACAAGTGGATTAGTGGTTGCTTGGGAGGTAGGGACAGAGGATAGGGAGTGACTGCTAATAGGTATAAGTCTCTTTTTGGGTGTTAAAAATGCTCTGGAATTAGTGGTGATGGCGTATAACCTTGTGAATACACTAAAATCCACTGAATTTACATACTTTGAAATGGTGAAAAAAAAACATTAATTGTACACTTAAAAAGGATGAATTTATGTTATTTCAATTATATTTTTGCTTTTGAAAATAGGGGGAAAATTGCAGCCAGTACCTTGGGCTCAAGGAGGTGGCCCTTCCTCTTTGGAACAGTGGTACTTTAAGTATAATCCCCAGACCAGCAGAATTGGCATCACTGAGAAATTACTAGAAAGGCAAATCCTCAGGCTCCACCCCAGACCTACATAATTAGAAATTCTGGGGATGGGGCTCTACAACCTGTGTCCTAACAAGCCCTCCAGAGGACTCTAATACATGTTCTTAAGAACCATTGCTCCAGAGTAGGGGGATCTTTTTATTTAAAAGGCCAGAGTAAATCTTTTAGGCTTTGTGTGCCACATACATGAGGTCTGTCACATATTGTTTTTTTTTCTTTCGTACAATGCTTTAAAAATATAAAACATTCTTAGTTCCCAGGCACAAAAACAGGTAGCTGGCAGATTTGGACCCTTGAGCCATCATTTGCCAACCTCTGTTCTGGAGCAACAGCTCCCATTCTGGGAGACCTCTGGAGATCCCAGCAAAGACAGGTGGTTTTTTCTCTGTAATAAGGAAAATGAGCACGGGCCTGCAGTCACTAGACAGTTTCCCCCTTATAGTTTTGACACCCTCCTCCATATCAAGGCCAAAGTAAAACCAGGTCCTACTATCCATCTAGGCTTTAACAACTCAATCTGCAGACGTTTCATTGTGCTCTTTCAAGAAATTTATTTAATTCACAGTGATATTCTTTGAAAAGTCAGTAATTCTACTGGGCAAAACTCATACAGACAACAGTCCCTCACCCCACCCCCGAAGCTTGAGAAATCACCTAGAGCAGCCAAGCTGGAAGGGTGGTGGCTGTGCTCTGCTGTGTGTCCTTTAAGGCTCTTTGGTCCCGCTTGATTTCCACTCAGAGGTGTCCAAATAAAACTTCCCTATCCTACTCTGTACACACTGCTCTTCCCTTGGTGTTTAACCCAGTATGAGGCAGGGAGGCAGTCAGGAAATTACACCCACTGAAATGTGTAGTTAATGCCTACATACATCCTTTTTACTCACAGTTAGTGGATTTACCTTTTAAATACAGGAAGATAAAATCAGACCCAATCAGAGGGCAGGAAAACAAGCCACTGTCAACAGACAGGGTTTGAAGCACCATGAAACTTTGCTGCCCCACATAATGTCCTTTTTAGTATGAAGAACTCCTGGGCTCCTGATAAAAAGTTTAACAGCACTCCCAAAGATACTTTCTGATGAGAGAGCTTTGGGGAGGAGAATGGGGAAGAGCAGAGCCCAGAGTGACAGAATTCTTCCCTCCCTCTTCCTGTGTTAGCTAGAGCTGCCTTAGTAAAAGGCCCCACAGTTTGGGAGAAGAGTGGGAGGGAGGAGGAAAGGGGGTAGAACTTCTCTTGGTCCCAGGAGGTCATCCCCAATCCTGGCTGAAACCAGAATTCCATAGGTTTCCTAATTTTTCCAGTTTGCTTGAGTGTCCCCGCAGGTCCCAGCAACTTCTCCCTGAGGGGGTCTCAGCTCCTGGTCTCCAGGGGATGGGGCTAAGGGGGGAAGCAGACAGAAGACTTGGTCGCTGCTCCCACTGTCGGCTTTTATCCCCTGGAGTCCAGTAAACCAGGTACCTGGATGGAAGCCAGAGGCACTTCCTGCCCCAAACCCACCCTGGCATTCAGGCCCTTCTGGCAAAGAGGAATGAGGGCACAGCTACACACAGAGCTGGGAGGAGCTGGTGAGTGTGGGTACAGACTGGTCCTTGTTGGAGGCCTGGGGGTGGGGGGCATTTAGAGACCCTTATTGAAGTACATATAAGGCACAGATTCTCCATAATTGGCCTTGATGGTGTCTTGGAGCTCTGGTTCCAGATAGGAAGCTGGCAATTCGCTGAGAAGAGAGAAGGGGGTTACGAGCTCGCCACCTGCACAAGCAGCAAACTATCCTCCAATAAAATCCAACCCAAATGCCACGTCCATGAGGCCCTTCTCGACCTCTCCAGCACAAATAGTAATGGCCTCTGGATACCACAACACATTGCTTTTACCTCTACTCAGGCCTTTGTTCTCCCTTGGGTTAACCTTCATCTTCTCCACAAAATTACAAGCACAGTGCTCAGACCACAGGAACCATCCAGCAGATGACTGCTGGACTGAGAGCTAAGGAGGGGGAGACTGGCATCTTCTCTGTATCTGTTCAAGCTACACCTGGGTCCCTAGAGCCAGTCGCCACCTCCACTTCAGCCCCAACCCAAGCTGATACTTCCCTTCCTTTTAACATCACCCCCTCTCACCCCCATCCCCTGCCAGCATGAAGGGAGGTGGAGAGGTCCGAGTCATCCACCCTCTGGCAAACGAAGCCAAAATAAATACTATCTCCTTGTTCCATTCAAGTACAGGATCCAGCAGGGATGGAAAGTCTCTTGTTTCCCCACCTTCTTTTTAAAACAACCCTTGGGGAGAAGCAACTCATACCTCTGCCCCTTAGAGATCTGTTTTGGTTTAGTATTCACCATGGGTTAAGAGGCCCGGAGTTTACGCTGATAGACACTTGTCCTTGGACAAATGCTGTCTGTCCCCCCATCCCTCCCTGTCTCTTCAGGACAGCAGGCAGGTCACCGAGAGCAGGGACAGGGCGTGTGGTAAAACAAAGCGAGAAGAGCCAATACCATTTCTGTGGGAAGAGCCCACATGCCACAGGCACCATGAAGATGAGGCTGGAAGAAAAGAGAAACCAGACGTTAGGGGTACCTCCCCACAGGCCTGCCCATACCCCGCCCTGAGCCAATTCACCTGGCCTGCCTCCCAGCTGGCCCCATAGCTCCTCTACCTCCAAATCTCCTGGTCTCTCAGTGCCAGGATAAAATCAGACTCCACCTCCCACCCTTCACCCCACATCTGCCCCCTTGTTTAAACAGATGAAGATAATGAAATCACTAGAGATGTGGGCAGCAGCCTGAAGGTCCACAAGCACCTGCTGACAATAGAGGGGAAGCAGTGAGGGGTAAGAACCCCAAGGTCCTGCTCCTGTGTTCACTGAGCACCTGTGCTGTTAGGGAAGAATATAGGCAGGGCTTCTCAAACTTCACTTTGTGCTTACAAATAACTCAAGGAGCTTTGTTAAAATGCAGTGTGGATTCAGTAGGTCTGTGGAAGGGCTTGAGAGCCTTTTATTTCTAACAAGTTCTCAGATGATGTGGGTCCAGGACCATGTCAGGATGTGGGAATCTAACAGACCTGGGTTTGTATCCCAACTTAGCTGTACTTAGCTGTGCAATCTTGGGCAAGCTACCTCTGAGACAGCAGAGAAGGACAAGAGGGTCTACTCAGCAGGGCTGCTGTGGGGAGTACCTGACGTAACACATGGACAGCACCCAGCCCATGGAAACCGCTCACTCAGTGGTGACTCAATTAGCAGAAGATAGTACAATTAACCCTTGAACAATGCAGGGGTTAGAGGAAACAACTCCCCAGTCAAAAATTCACATGTAACTTTTGACTTCCCCAAAATTTAACTACTAATAATAGCCTACTATTGACTGAAAGCCTTACTGATAACATAAACCGATGATTAATGAATATTTTGTTTACGTATGTTATACTGTATTCTGACAATAAAACAAGCTAGAGAAAATGTTTTTTCAAGCTATCGCAAACCTCCAAAACATTTCCCAATATATTTACAGAAACAGTCTGTGTGCAAGTGGACCTGCGCAGTTCAAACCTACGTTGCTTAAGGATTAGCTGTATACAGCATATTAGACTGCTGAGGATCCATCTCTGCTCCAGCAATTACTAGCTTTGCACCTGTGGGCAAGTTTTCTCATCTCTCCAAGCCTCCATTCCTTCATTTGTAAAAAGAGATGATGACAGATTACTAGCCTTTAGGGGTGAGGGAATTAAGTGAAATTAAAGACATGAAGTATTAGCACAGTGGGAACACAAAGAAAACATTCAGTACGTGTAATTGTTATTGTTACTGTCATAAGTCCCACGGCTTGCAAAGCATGGTTGATCCCATGACACGTCTAGTCAGAGGCAAACACCTAAGTGCGGTGCCATGACTTGGGATGTTTCCCTTCTGGGCAAGGCTGGGACCAAATACAGCCTCTGGCATCTCATCGTTTTTGATGTCTCATCATGTTTATTTATTTTGTTAGTTTATACTAAGATATAACTGACGTATGCCATTGTGTAAGTGTAAGGTGTTTGTTGTGTGTATCCAGGTATAATTGTCATATACCGCTGTGTAAGTGTAAAGTGTACAACGTGATTTGGTAATTTATATATTACAATATGATTACCACATAGCACAAGCTGACATCTCTATCCCCTCACATAGTTATCATTTCTTTCTTGTGGTGGGACTGTCTCATCGTTTTTATCGCTTGTCCAGCCCTAAGGTCACAGGAGAGACCCTGGGACAGGAGGGTACCCAAACATATCCATGCAGTGTGTACATAGAGCCTAGCCAGCCTGATGCCCTCAAAAAAGATGGAGCAAGAGTGGTCCAGACAGCCCACAGGTGTTCTGAGCTCAGCCACCTTGGAGGTCAGGTGAAGGAATACATATTCTCCACCACAGGCAACACAAGAAGGCATATCTTGGGTGTCCCAGACTCCACAGAACCCAAACCAAGGAGGCATGTTACTCACAAGCACCCAGACAGCAGCACTTGCAATGGGGCATGCAGGACCTTGGCTTTCTGCACAAAAACAAACAAAAGAAAAGACCAAGATACCTTAAGGTGAACCCCAAGCCTGCCCTGCTACTAATCAGCCAGTTAGAAACCCACAGGCATGAAACTCCTGGCCCTGGAAGAGGGGACAAGGGATTCTTCTTGCTCTCTGCAGCCAAAGCCAAATGACCAACCACACTGTCTAAAATGGGCAGCCAACAGGGACTGGAAGGGCCCTGCTTTAGTAGGATGAAAGATGGTAGCTAGAGGGAAAGGAGGGAGAATTGGGAGCTCCCAGACACAGGTGCAGCTGAAGGACTCTGGGCAGGAAAGATGAAAGAGGCAGCCCACTCACCTTTATGAAATGTAGTTTCTCCAGCCTTTCCATGATGATTGGCAGCAAGACTGGAAGAGACCAGGGAGAACTCAGAGAGAGAAAAGGCTGTAAGACTCCCCAAGTTCTGTTTTCCAAAGTCAGATGAGGGACTGAGTGATTCCTCCCCTTCCCTACAAGTTCCAGGGAATACTTTTCTTTTGGGAGAAGAACAGAAGACTGCATGGGCAGGGCCACCCCCAACCTGTCCTCCAAGTCCCAGCCTGGGGTGCTTCCCAGACTTCTCAACCTGCACACCTGTAATGACAGGACATGCACTGCATGCCCAAGGCATTCTTCTCAAAACTCCAATCTTCGGAGGCTCATGTAAACAAATGTTGTGCCCTACTCTGTAACATGCCTCTGCTAGAAGCAAGATCAGGCCAGGGGATTTATTTTCTCCCCCATCTTCTCAGCACCCTGCACACTGTGTCCAGCACATTGAAGGTACTTAAGGTATATTTGTTGAATGAAAAGGACTTTTCCCCCAAAACCTATGATTAATTGATGTTCCAGGAAATAACAGTGTGGCTCTCCTGTGGCTTTCCGTACTCAAGCAAACCAGTTTGAGAAGCATGACTGTAGTGGCTGGTGTCCCACATCCCACCCAGAAGCTGAGCATGGCTGAGCCTCTATCATGTGTTCCAAGGTCCCCCAGAATGGGGGGCTTCCCCATCTTACTCATGCCAGGGGCTGCCATGGTGATCCGAGAAATAACCACTTGGGTGATGCCTAGGACCGCAGCTCTCTGAGGACAGAAAAGATTAAGTCATCAGCAATGACTTATACAGTAACCATGGGCTGCAACCCTCAGAGGGCTGGTTCAGGGTCAGGGTCAGGGCTAAGTCTGAGCTGGTAAAGGGCAAGGAATGGACCTGCCAGGAGCTGAACGGCCTCTCTCAGCCCTCTCCTATCCAGCCAGACTTTTTTATGTCTTCAGGACCAGAAATTATAGACAAAAGACATGGGAAGCTTGTTCTGAACAGAGAAACGTAGGGATAACTGAGGAGATCAAGAATGGAGTCAGGGAAATCCTATAATAATGGACCCAGGCCCACTCTGACCACTTAAAGACAGGACAGGGTATGAGAAGGAATTCTCTCCTCCCACCCCAAAGGGAAGCCTCTGCTCACCCGAGAATGACCAATCTCGTTGTGATTTCTGTCCTTCACGCAGATGCCCTGGATGAGTTCCCTAAACACAGACAGGAGTTGCTGGCCTCAGGAAAGAGAGTTGGAAGCCTACAAGCAATGAGACACCCAGAGAACCAGGCCAGGGCACTCAAGCTCTAGGAAGCCACCTCCCACAGCCTGGCCCTTTGACCTTCCTTCTGCACTCCAGTGAGTGGTAGCTCAGAAGTGACCCAGAGCAGTGGGTAGGAGAGCCAGCCCTGGGCCCAGACTGCCTAAGTTGAATCCTAAAAGTGCAAAGTGTCTGATACTAAGCAAGCCCCCTGGTCCTTCTAAAAACTCAGGTATCCTCATCTGCAAAATGGGGATAACCAAGGCCCTCACTTCATAGACTTGGTCAGAATTAAATGGGATAATGCTTACAAAGGGCTTAGTCCAGTGCCTGACACAGAGTGACTACTCCAGACAGTAGTTACTCTATTATTCTCAGGCCAGTTCTTGACAGCACTCAACCCAAGACCAGGTTAGGTGGCTGGGACTCATTCACTTGTTGGGAAGGAAAAACTGGATGGGGAAGGGGAAGAGGAGAGGAGCAATGTGTATACATGACTATTCTGGTATTGTGCTCTTTCTGCAAGGGCTACTGTGAAAACTGCCATTTGCTCATTGTCCCAAGAAAATGTGGCCTGGTGATGCCATGATGATAACAGTAGCGATAATAGCCATCACTTACAGTATCTGTTATGCTCCAGGTGCTATTGAGTGCTTTATGTAAATTACATAATTAAATTTTACAACAGAGGAACATCCATGTTTTCTTTAGTCAAGAAACAAGAACTTGAGACACAATGGGTTTCTCCTTCTACCTTTCCTGCTGTGAAGCTTAGAGCCAGGTGCCTGGAAAACATCTATCTACTTACTCCTCTGGCTTCTTTCAAAGCATCTTGGTTCTGTTCTACCTTTGGACACCTTGCTCTGCTACATTTCCTTCTGTAAGACATCTCCAGGGCTTCAGAAGTAGGCAGAGTCCACAACTGAAATGCAGTTGTGGTTGGAAGGACATGATCTACTATAAAATCCCACACATCCCACCAACTCCCCCATCCCATATCTAAAAACCGACTCCACAACACTCATCACAGATTAAAACTTGTCACCCACCACTCCAATGGCCATCCCCGCTGAAGCAGCCAATGCTCGGGGACTTTCCAGAGGCGCAACCCAGCAGCCCTCCCCACCCCACCTTGGCCCCAAGAAGTGGTTTCTGGCCCTTTTACCGCTAACCTTGTGGGTTATAGGGTAGAAAAAAGGTCCCTGTACTCACTGCTGTCTCATCATCGGGATGTTGACACAATTAGCAGCAGCCACTGCAGCAAAGGGCACCCAGCGGCCCACCAGGGGTGGAGCTTTCTGTTGGGGATAGGGACAATGAGAGTCATTCAGATTGACTGGAAGATGCAAGAGGAGGGGGCTTAAGGACAAGGAATCAGACCTCACTACTGCCACACATCCAGACACCCGGTGTGGGAACCCAAACTCCCTCAAAGACCAGGGAAAGACCAACCCGGGTACAGCCCTGCTATATTTCCAAGTACCTGGCTAAGCTCGGGCCATATCCAACCCATCCAGATGGCGGAAACGCCCTGCCTGGGGAAAGTTTTCCCTGGAACTTTGCTGCCCCCTAGCGGCCATCATGCCCACGGCGGCCCAGAGCATACCTTTGTCAACATGTTCAAGCCCACAGCAGTGGCCACAGCAGTGGTTGTGGCTGTGATGTAGGAAACGGCCATCTGCCTAGTGGAGAGAGATGCTTGGGAGTGGGGAGCCCTGCTGCCTAAGGGCAAGACCATGATTTGAGTGAGGAGGTCTGGGAATGAAGCTTCATGCCTAAGAAACTCACGTGATCCCTCCTCAGTCATCTGGTGACCTCCCCCCAACTCTTGATGCTCCACCCCTAGGCCTCCTTTCATTACTTTAAAGTGCTTTCCTGCTTCAGAAACTTTGCATGCTTCTGCTCCCTTCCTGGGGAATCTTCCTCTGGACTCTTGCTTGGCTAAATCCTTATCCTTCAGAACTGAGCTGAAATAATCAGCTTACAGAAAGGACTTCCCTCCCTAGCCTACCTACACAGACACCCCTCTGCTGTTCTCTATCTTGTCACCTCTTTATTTCCTAATGGCAGCAACCACAATCTGAATTATGCTTGTTTTCTTAAAAGACCTTAAATGCCATAAGAACAGGGGCCACACATCTTACTTAAATGTGCCCCCAGCACCTAGAACTATGCCTACTACAGAATACACATTCAAGAAATATTTGTAGAATGAATGAATGAACAACTTTTGAGTTGATCTAGGAAGAAGTTACTCTCCTGGACAGCCTAAGAAAATACTTCCAGACCCTGAAAAGTGAGACTTGGTCACCTGCCCAGTGCAAGTTCCACCCAAGGAGGACTGACAGCCTGGGGACCCTTTAGAAGGGCTGTTTCCCCAAAGGCAAGAGAACAGCCATCTGGTTAAGACCCATGTGAACAGCCTAGGATTCAGGTCTCCTACCTGACCGAGGTAGGGGAAGCTGCATTCCTGTTGGTGTAGTTGACTAAAGCATTGAAGGACTGGTTCACCCACTGCCAAAAGATCACCGCCGGCATTGTCCTACAAGTAAGGGAAACCCAGAGAGGCAGAGGAGAGTCAGCTGGAGGGCAGGGCTTGGTGTACACCATCAAACCACATCACCTGCCACTCCCCAAACCAGTCCCATGCTGTCTTATGCCCATGAGCTTTGCATGTGCATGTGCTGACCCCTCTGCCTGGAAGAGCAACACCCCCCACCCCTATTCTTCTGTACATGGCTATATCCTGCTCTGTTGAGAAACCACTTCTTCCTTGGAAACTTCCCAACCCTACCCCCTTCCCTTCCTGAGAAACAAGTGGTCATCCTATGTTCCTGCTCCCAAACCCCATTTTCTCGCCACAACCTACCACTTAGCAAGCTGGACTGTAACTCTTTACTTCTAGGTCTCCTCAACAAAAGTGGTAGCTCCTTAAGAGGAGGGACCAAAGTCTTTATATTCCCAACACCTGGCTCAAAGCTGAATAAATGGATGCATAGGGGAGGGAAGGAGAAGAGGGAAAAGAAGGGAGAGGGTGACACATCCTGGCAGCATCTACAGAGAAAGTTGATTCTCCTCCCACCAGGATGAAAGGGTCTTCCTATTTTTGACTGGGATATTACATTATAAAAGTGCATTAAATTCAAAATAGAAGGAACAAAATAGCAGGAGATTCATAGACACTGAGAAGGGACTAGTGGTTACCAAAGGGTGGGGGGGAGAAGGGGATTAAGGGGCACAATAATTCACAATCACAATATATGTTGATCATGGGAATGGTAGTACAGCATGGAGAATAGAGTTAATGGTTCTGTGACATTTTACTGTGTTGATGGACAGTGACTGCACTGGAGGGGGTGAAGGCTTGATAATATGGGTCAATGTTGAACCACTGTGCTGTGTATTTGAAACCATCATAAGATTGTATCAATGATACTTTATAATTATTTTTAAAAAGTGCATTAAGTTCGTTGTTGAATAAATACCTTTTAAAAAGGGAATTAGGATAGTGTATTCATTGAGAGTTCTAGAGAGGACTGCCTCAGTTAATATCCAGGCACCAATATTTCTTAACTGTGTGAACTTGGACAGTTACATAACTTCTCCAGAACCTGGGTTCTTCATCTATAAAATGGAGATGATAATAGTACCTCTCTGTAGGGTTGAAGAGAAGATTAAATTCAGTAATTCAAACATGCAAAGAAATTTACCACAGTGCTTGGTATCTGGTAAGGAATCAATAAAGATGGCCATTAATTAAAAAGTAAAAAGTAAAAGTAAAATAAAATATACTGATGTTCAACTCTTAAAAAAATGGCTATTATTATCATCAAAATATGGCTCCCTGTCAAGCAGATCCAAGCAGCTATGTTTCCACTGCCTTGCTCCCGGGTCCCACCTGTAAAATTGGAGCATGAAGCCTGTGATGATCATGCCACCAGGGACCTGGAAGGACATCCGCCCAATGACGTTCATCTTCTCCCCAGTGTCAGGGTGGAAGGCTGAGTCATACAGCTTCTTGGCATAGAGCAACTGCTCCACTTGGGTGCCTGGGGGCACAACCCCCATCCTGCCATCCAAAGACAAAAGGCAGAGTTACCTCCCAGGCCCCAATCATCTGCTCTCACTTTTCCCTCTTTCCTGAGATCTCTGCCTACGCCCTCATCTTCAGTTTCCACCTCCTCCCTAGGGGACCTATCAGTATCACCTCCGGCCCCTTCTCCTAACCACTTACCTGCACTTCTCCACCATCACCTTGGCCCAGTCCAGCTCCTGCTCTGGTACCAGGACAGTGCGGGGGTCTGTGATATTGAAGAAGTGCTTCATCCGCCCCAGGAAAGTGCACTGGTCCCAACGGGGGGCATCGATGTTAAAGCCAGACAGGTTAGCCTCCATCTGGCTCATACATAAAACTGTGGACTTAAGGAACAGAGGAAAAATGAGGACTGCCCCCAAAATCAAAGCCTGCCCCAGAGACCCGGAGCATTTCCCACTACTGGAGACTGCCTGCTTTCATCAGCCACTGGCATCATCTAACTCAGCCTTGGAAGGCCCCAGCAAAGGACCCTGAGACAAAGCAATTGGGCACCAACATGGCCCACTAGTACCTAACTCTGGGTTTGATCATGCTGTTGGAGAGACTGGAAAAAGACAACACAGCTACTATCCTTGGGGAACTGAGTCTGACTGAGGAACAAGAGCCTAACCATGGAACAGTGTGTAAGATGTACAGCAGCAGTAAGTACAGGAGATGAGAGGAAGCAGAGACACAGTAATCAAAGGGGGCTTCCCAGAAGAGGTGGACTGTGAGTAAGGCCCCAGCAGAAGGAAGCAGAAGGAATGAGATCACACTGGATGTAGAAACAATCACAGACAAATCCGGAAATGGACACGGCAGGACAGACTTCATAATTTCAGTGCGTGTGTGTGTGTGTGTGTGTGTGTGTGTGTGTGTGTGGTGCACGCTGGTTCTGAGAGAGATCCTGGGCTACCATGCCGGCCCTTGAGGAATTACAGAGTGGGAGATGAACAGACAAGTAGATTAACAAGGGTAACAGTGTAAACCATGCTGTGACAGACCCTGGGAGCAGTGGAAAGTTGGAGAAGAGGGAGCTAAACTGAGGTGACACATCACCCAGTTTGCCTGGGACCGTTGTCCTGGGGTAAGTATTAATAGCACCCCTTTCACTCTCAAAAGTGCCCCGAGATGGACAATAAATTACATGGCCACCATATCCATAATGGATGAGGGATTCTGAATACACTTTGAGAGAACAAGAAGTAAACCATGTTTTGAAGGATGCTTTAAATCTCAACAGATGGAGAGGAGGCCTCCCAGGCGAAACGAAGCTCCAGCACTGAAAGCACACAGTGCACGGGGGCCCTGGTGATGGAGGTCACAGCCTCTGCTATATGCTAGACACTCTGCTTGGGGCTTGCTATATATTTTCTGAATCCATCTCCACAATAACCCTAGAAGATAGATACTCTTTAATTTAACCCCATTTTATGAATGAGAAAACTGAAGTACAACTAACTTCACCAAGTCACACAAGCATTAGCTAATGGCAGAACCAGCCCCTATTTACTTCAGAAACCTTGCCTATAACTGGGTTCTGGAATCCATGACTTGAAAAGCTAAGGCAAAGAGCTTAAAGTTATCGCTCCTGTCCGCAGAACAAGAAAAAAGCTGAACAAACTGAAAATCAACAACTTTTCTTAGACCCGTCAGAAAACTGTGGCCACAGGGCAAACCAACCCCTGCAAACCTGGAGAGACAGGCAGGTCCAGAGAATCACAGCTTACTGGCAGCAGAAGCCCACCACTGGGGCATGTGCCATTGGAAAAAAACTGTTCAACCAACAAATTGCTGGAAGCTCAGTGTGGACAAGCTCAAGAGTTAAAAGTCCCAAGGGACTCAATCTTTGTGAGCTTTTCTTCCAGGAGCCCACTAAGTTCTCAGGGTGAAGATGAGAGAAAAATCCCCAAGTGCTTCTGGCAGGGAGATGGGAAAAGTAGCCTTGTCAAGTATAACCAGAGCCCTCTGTTCTTAACCAGGCCTGCCCTCAAAAGAAACCTAACCTATTTTACCAGAGACTAACCACCTTGGGTTCTACTAGACCCTAACCGACTTGGGAAAGGGAAATAGCCAACTCCAGCCTCTTCCAGCCTCCCAGTCTCACCTAATGGGGGTGGGGAAGCCTGAGAGGCACTTGGGAAGTCCCAGGGGTGCAGGCACCCTCAAAGATGGAAATCTAATCATGGGACTGCATACCACTCTCGCCTCTCTACTGCAGGCTATCAGCTCCTGTACAGTAACAGGGAGAACTGAGCAACAACAGAAAGAACTGCAAGTCTCAAACCTTACTGAAGAAGTCTCTAGAAACCCAAAGACAAAAACAAGCAGACCAAAGGAAATTTTAGCTTTTGACTCCTATAGCTTTAGTAAACAGTAAACACAGTTTAACTCTTGCCAGACAGACAAATGTAAAAACTCACATACATCTGGCTTTCAACAAAAAAAATTACAAGGCATACTAAAAGGCAAAAATCACAGTTTGAAGACCCAGAGCAAGCATCAGAATCAGACAAGAGATTTAAGAATTACCAGATCAAGAATTTTAAATAACTATCATTAATACGATAGGTCTCCAATGGGTAAGTGGACAGACTGCAAGAACAGTAACACAATGTAAGCAGAGATGGAAACTCTAAGAAGGAATTAAAAGGAAAAGCTACAAACCAAAAATACTGTAAGAGAAATGAAAACGGCTTCTGGTGGGCTCTTCACTAGACTGGACATGGCCAAAGAAAGAATTAGTGAGTTTGAACATGTGTCAGTTGAAAATTCCCAAAGTGAAAAATAAAGAGAAAAAAAGAATAAAGAAAAAGAAGAAGAACAGAATATCCAAGAATCTTGGGACAATTACATAAGGTGTGACATACACATAACAGGAATATCAGAGAAAGAGAGAAAGGTACAAAAGAAATACTTGACTAAATGATGACAGAATTTTCTGTTATTAACAACAGACCCCACAAGTTCAGGAGGCTCACAGAACACCAAGCGGGGTAAATACCAAAAAAGTCTACACCTAATCACATCATACTCAACCTGCAGAAAAATCAAGACAATAGAAATCAAAGAAGTCAGAGGGAGGGAAAAAAAACACCTTTACCTATAGTGATGCAAAGATAACAATCACATTAGACTTCTCAGAAACCATGCCATCAAGAATAGAGTGAAATATTTAAAGCATTGAAAGAAAAAACCCCACCAACCTAGAATTCTATACCAGCAAAATTACCTTTTGATGTGGAGGAGAAAAACAGACTTTCTCAGACAAATAAAACTGAGGGAATTTGTTACCAACAGACCTCACTGGCAAACGTTAAAACAAGTTCTTCAGAGAGAAAGAAAATAACATGGGTCATAAACTCAGACCTACGTAAAGACAGAGTGACACAGAAGGAATAAATTAAGGTAAAATAAAATCTTTACTTTTCTTATTCTAATTGTTAACATTAACAAAAAGGTAACAGTGACAAGATCAGATGTGTAGTTCAACAAATACACTCTGGGCAATCACATGAGAATTACACACATTGCAGAAGGACCTTTAAGGATGCAGAGAGACCAGGTGGAAGGGAACCCCAATAAACAAAGAAAGAAGAGGTGGGGACCATATGAACCCAGATGCCAGAAAGAGAGGAAGGACCAAAAAAGAGGAGAAACTTTTAAAGAAGCAGACCCTAAAGGTTTGCCAAGCGATTGGGTAGAGGAGGAACATTGTATCAGTCAGGGCTCAACCACAGAAGCAGATTCAGAAGATACATATATACCCTTTATATATATATTACATATAATATATATATAAATACATACATAATATATATACACATAATATTGATAAATATATAAAAATGGATTTAGTACAAGGAATTAGCGAGTTGGCTCACATAATTTTGGGAGTTGGCCGAGTCTGACGCCAGCAGGGCAGGCAGTTAGGAAGGGAGGATCCTGAGGGAAAAGGAGAGCAATGTGGACCCCAGCTATGGCTGGAGTCTTTGACCCCAGGGGATGCCTAGCCCTTTTTTAAAGGGATTCCATCTGATTAAGTCAGGCCACGCAGGCTAATCTCCCTTTAGATTAAGTCAAAGCTAACCAATTAGGACTTTAATTACAATTGCAAAATTCCTTCACCACAGTAGCTGAATTAGTGTTCCATTCCATACCTGGGAGAAGTTGTGGGTGCTACGGAATGGCTGCTTCTCCCTCACAGTCCACTTTAACTGGAGACATACCAGAGAGGGAGTCCTGGACAGTTTTGTTTGGCCTAGCCAAGCTGACATGTCACAAGTATCTAGAGTGATAGCCAGGGTTTCTGACTTTAGCAATATTGTGCTGAGACAGAGAATATAGAAAAACAGGCTCTAAAGGAGAAAACTGAGTTTGATTTTCCATGTGTTGACTTTCAAGTGCCACTGGGACTTTCTTAAATGCAATAGGCTGCCACCTGTCTCAGGTCCTTTAGAAATACCACTCCCTGCCCAGAATGCTATTCCTTCCTCTCTTGACTAACACCTACCCATCCTTTTTTTTAGGAAAGATTTTCAGGTTTAACTCTTATTATTTTCTATGACTAGGTCATTGTCTTATTTCTTGTAAAATATCACCTTAACTTAGGACTTTTCATATATATTAAATTACAAGTTCACAGGCGCAGCTCGAGCAAGATTTTAAAAGTCACCTTCTTGAGTTATACAATCACCAAAATCCAAAAGCACTCACAAACTCAGCAAAACAAAGCCAGTATTTCTGCACATGAGGGAAAGGAAACACATTGCTGATGGAAGCCCCAGGCCTAGTCAAAGATAAAATGTTTTATATTAAATGGTCAAATGAAAGAGTTCTACCCAAGGCCACCACCTCAATAAAAACCCATGGGTTACTACTACTGCAAAGAAAATTACAGCAAAGACACCTCAGAATAAATGGCAGCCTTAAAATCAGATATATTAGCACATAATTTCAAGGTACCACCTCTGGCTCCACCCCAATAAAAAAAAGAAAGAAAGAAAGAAAGAAAGAAAATAGCTTTCTGCTCTCCAGGGACAGTCTAGAGTTATTTGCAAAGCAGTACCTACCCATCCTTCAGATCTTGGCTTAAAACCCATTTCCCCAGGGAGCCCTCTGAAGGTTCCCTAGTCCCCTCCCCTATAGCTACATCAGGTGCTCTACTATAAGCTCCCTTGGTGCCATACTATTTCTTCAGAGCTACACCAGTCTGTCATAATCTTTTGTGGTTTATCTTAATACCTACCTTCCCCCTAGGCCATAAGCTTCTGAAGCCAGGGGTTGTATCCCTTTTGCTCGCTACTGGTGCCTTAGTGCATAGCACAAGAATTCAAGTATTTGCTGAGTAAGAGGTCTGGTTTGTCAGCAGTCGGATATTTAGGCTTAAAAGAAAGTACAGAGGTCTGAGTTAGAAGTAAAAAAATGTGTCAGCAGCACTGAGGTAGTTTAAGATAGAGTTTTCCAGTGAGAATACACAAATGGGAAAAACAGAGAGCTGAGGACATACCTTGAAAAATCATGACATTTAAAAGACAAGCCAAAGAAAGGAACCCCCAAAAGATGAGAAAGAATAACCAGAGAGGCAGGAAGCAAGAGTCACCAACAAATGGGGTAAAAGGAAAGGTGGTTAGACATTTTATCAGGGTGGGGGAGACTTCAGCAAGCTCTCTGCTGGGGGTTGGACATTTCCTAAGAGGAAGAAACAAGGACAGAAGGAGAGCCCAACATGGAGTTTCCAGAGCTCCCTGGCCTGGCCCTGACACCACTACTGAGTGGCAACCCCTGGAGAAGTCAGAAGTCAGAAGCCAGGCAAACGTCCACTGCCAGAACTCTGACATCAGCCTCTCCTGCTCCACCACGGAGCCCCTAAGAAAGCTCTGGGCTCTGCTCTCCGGGAACAGGCCAACTTGGCCTCCTGCAGGTTGGCTCAAAGACCAAAAGTATTTTACCCAGTCCCAGCAGAACCCAGGAGTAGGAGAGGGATAAGACTTTACTTCCCTGAATCAACGTGAAGCTGAAAGGAGTCAGCCTGGCTAGCAGATCACAAACCTTGGCTTACAGAGCCCCAGGCTCATACCCTTTGGTGATAGCAAAATACTCTGCCTTCCCCTCAACATATGCACACACGCACACACGTATGCACGCACACACACACACATGCACACATGCGCGCTTGTCCTTCCTGGACATCTCTCTCCACCCTCAACCCAGCATTGAAAAGTCCTCTGCCTTTCATAATGGAAGTACTTTTACCATGAAGGGGAAATTATTTGCTAAATTTCTCAAGAACCTTTGCCTTCATTATAGAGGTCAGCATAGGAACTGCCCAATCCCTGTCTTATATAAAACATAAAGCCAAAAAAAGGTCTAAATTCTATGTCTAGAACATTTCCCCCCAGTACCCACTGCCCCACTGGGTACAGTTCCATGACTTCAGGGCAAACTCAAGTCCTTCTGTTATAGAGGCCCATAGCCTCCTGTTCTCCTTGGCAGCATGCTGGGTTTTGTAACTGTCACTCTCTTGTTATTTACAGTTACTTGGGTAAGTCTGTCTCCCCTGAGAGACTGTAAGGTTTATGCATCTGCCTTCTCAATACTTATTGCCTGCCTGCAATGCATTCCAACTCATTCTTGGTTCTCTGGGCATCAAGGATGTCAGCTCTTTTAAGTTAAACTCGGAAGCTGCCTTGGCTACAGAGGTAGGAGTAATTGTCTCCTTTTCTATATGGAGCCCCATCTAGCCTGGAGGCTTTCTTCAATGGTCACTCTCCCTCTTCCCACATGAGCCATATCTAGTATTCCCAACAAAGGTCACTACCATGTCCAGGGGGAACGCATGTCTTAAGGAATGTGATTCTACTCCTGGAAACAAGGGGAGGGGGGACGGAAATCAAATAGGTGATTGACTAATACTTCCTTTCCTTTAAGGATGGATTCTCCTTTAGAGAATGTCACAGCTCAGTGCAATCTGGGATCCAAAATCTCAGTTTATAGAAGAAATTGATGCCTAGAAAGGTTCACATAGATTGAGCCAGGATGGTGAGCATTTGGGCACACACAGCCCAGCACGAAGAAGACAGATCCAGTCCTTTTATCCACCCAATGATCTGACAATAGCTAGGGCCTTACTTTCCCAAGGTCACAAGGCTTAGGGTCACTTAGATAGGTCCTCTACCCACTACAGGCAGAAAGAAAGAGAGAGAGAAAGGAAAAAAGAGAAAGAGAGAGGGTCAGGGAGGGAGAAAGAAAAAAGAAGGAAGGAAATAATTGACTACCTTTCCTGAAGTAATGCTCATTCTTCTCAGACAAGGCTGATTTTCCTCAAGCAAACAGTATCAGAGCTCAAAGAACAGGTTTCCAAACCTTCTCTGAGGTATCCTCTTGCAAGAGGGTAGAGCACCCAAGACTTCCCTGTTTGTATCCCCAGGTAGGGAGAAAAACAAAACATCATCACCGGTACTCACACTGGAGGAAGATAAAGCAAACAAAGACCCAAGAAACTCAGACACAAAGACGACTGAGATAGGCCAGGGTTGGTGTCCAGACTGCCCAGTGCAAGTTGAAGAAAACTAATAATTAAACAAGCAGGCCCAGTACAGGCCTAACTACACTCATGTGACTCAAGGCAAGTGATGTTAGTTAGACACCAGACAACTCAGAAAAAAAAGTCTGCTTTGCCTTTTTCACAAAAGAGCCAACAGGCTAGAGAGGGGTGGATTGTAGGAATACATGCTCTGAATTAACCATTCACCTGGAACCTACTTACTCAAAGTTCTGTAATGAGTTTTCTCTCCAAGGATCTGAAGCAGGTATGTAGGTAGCAGATGTTTTTAAAATACTTTCATTGATTGCATAAACAGCTAATCAATGGAAAAATCTGCCTTCATTCCAACGATCTTAAATAGACTGTATAGGAAGGAGCAAAGCCCAAAAATTTAGATGAAACTATTAATAATAGCTAAGCCCTAAATAGCCCTTCCTATGCAATATTCAATGGACTTGCATAATAATTCACATAATCCTCACAACAACCGAATGAGGTAGTGAAGAGGCACACACACATCTGCAAATGTCCAGGTCATAGTGCCGAGACTTCATCAACTTTGAAAAGTTCTGGGATTACATCACAAATATTAAGCCACTTTGTTTCTCTTACCTGGACAATACAATAGTGCTAAAATCACTTCAAGAGTCAGAACTTGGTTCAAGTCCCAATCCTATATCCCTTAAAATAACCAATTCCTAGAGTTGGGAGAATGAAATGAAAACTTGTGCGAAAAGCTTGTGTGTAGGAAAGATGTAATTTTTGTGGGAGCTGACTTCTGTCCCCTGCTGGGTCTCCAGTCTAGACTAGGGCCTGGTAAGTGTGACAACTCTTCTTCCTGTCCTCTGTGTGGGGAAGGGTGGGATGTGCCTCCCACCCCCACCCAGAATCCCTCTCCCTCTTCCTTGTTGGCCCATTTTTGCCTCCTCCGGGCCTACAGACTGTACACTGTCCAGTTCGGCGAAGCTTAACAAAACCCGCCTATCCCCAAACGCCTTTCATCCCCGCTGGCAGCTCACCTCAGCGCTCTGGGCCAGTCCCAGACTGCTTCTTGCCCTCCGACAGGGAGCCTCCCACCACTGGGCCTCCTCCCTCCCAGACTCTAACTCAGGGGTGTAGAGATAAGTGCGCATACATAACGCCCCGCCCTTCAGCCTGGCACTCGAAGGCGCCGGGGGCCATAAGGAGAGGTCCGCTACTCGCGCCACGCAGCTTTGGCAGGTGGAAGCCTAGCCCGCGCTGCAGCCCCGGCTGGGCAGAGTCAAGACAGAATCCAAGGTCCCTCCCGGAATGTGGGGACTGCAGATAGAGGTGGTGGGCTGCCTCCTCCCAAGACCTCTTACCTGGGCCCAGGAGAAACGCACCGAGACAACTACCACCAGATGCAGCGCTCGTCGGAAGCCTGGCCTGGACCAACCGGTTGCCTCGCCCTGGGGGCTGCCCCTCCCCACGCTCCTTCTCTCCAACCAATCACAGGCTGGGCGGCCCCCGCCAGCCACGTGGGCGAGCTTTCCCCATTCCCGTGTTTCTACTCGCCAGCGGAGGCCGCCAGCCGCTCTAGCAGCCCGCCTGCGCAGTAGGCGGGCACTTTGGTGCGCTTGCGCACTTTGGGGAAAGAGGCACGCACCCCGCCCCATACGACTGCTCTGCTCCTCCGCTGGGAGTGCGAGGGACGTCGGGGGCGGTGCCGCAACAGTTGCCCTGGTAACGGGGGAGGCCAGAGGAGGAGGAGGCGGAGGAAGAGGAGGAGGAGGAGGAGGGACTCGGCAGGAGGATGGTGAGTATGGGGGCTCCGGCCCCTCCGGAGCTGGCCGGTCACCCCCAGCCCCCTCCAGTTTCCAGGCCCAGGGCGGGGCACTGCGCTTAAAGCCGAGGAGGCAATGGAACGGCGCTCATTCTGCTGTCTGGGTCCTGGATCCGTTTCGGGGGATGGCGGGGAGCCCCGAGGGTGAATCCTGCAGGGAGACCTGGGCCTGGGGAGGAAGGCGGGGCTCGCGGCTGATCCACAGCTAGGGGAAGGGGCTGGAAGGGTGAGTGGCTGTTCCGGCGCGGAGCCCGGGCTCCACCATTACTGTGAGGGCAGGGAAGGGGGCGGGTCCGAGAGTCTCCGGGAGCAGCCTCCGCACGCAGGCTGACATCTTCATGGGGTATCGGCCTCCCAGCGCAGCAGGAGAGTGGGATCCGCCCGGGCAGTACCAGAAGCGGGGGAAGGGCCAACGCTGCCGTCTTTGAGGTCGCCCTGGCGGCACCAGGAGAGCCGGTATCCTGGCTCTTCCTCGCGACGTGTGGGCCCCTTGGGAGAGGGGTGTAAATCCCGGGACACAAAGAGGAGCGGCTTGGAAGGCATACCTGGTGGATTTTACGCCGGCCGAGAGTCTGCGTTACGGCCGCGCTTCTGAAGTCCCGAGTTATTTATTTGCTGAGGGTTACGCAAAGTCTCGTTCGGTGCTTAATACATGTTAATGGAGGCAGATTTGCTGCACGGTCCTTACAATCTCCTTCAGAACCTGTTGGAACCTTCCTTTGCATATGACCGCACCAGAACCAAAGATTAAGATCTCAGTTTGGGTCTCCAAATTAAAAAAAGGGGGTGGGGGGATTAAAACTGGAGAGTGGCCGTCAATTGACTTTTCTGTTAGACCTAATCAAAGATTCCCCAGATTGTAAATTATGATGTATGAGATTTCTGTGCAGTTAGTTGGAGGGTATTAAAATGAAATTAAGTAGTTTTGAAGCTAGTCAAAGCAAAATTTATTTTAAAGCATTTAGAACAGGTTGATTTGCTTACTAACTGCAAAGTACCAGTGCTCAAACTTAGTTATGTCCCCGCCCCAACCTCACTCCCTTTTTGACTTTTAGAAATGTTGAACCATTTACACTGATGTATAAAGTAAGAAAGAGCTAGATGTCCAGGAGGAAAAAGTGCATATACTTTTGGTGATATTATCCAATGAGTAAATTTTTATAGGAAAATAATCTAAATTGATTTTACATTGTCAGATTGTTGCAGGAAGTAGAATTATTTGATCTGAAGTTGCCAATCACATTTCACACTTGGCTGCATTGCAGTTTTATTAACCTCAGGCTAAACAGATTTTTACATGTTTTCATCTTATTAATCATTTATACACGAGCTGTCCCTTTAAAGGCTAAGATTTCCTCAACAAATGAGTATAAACATAAATATTTACACAGAAAATAACTAGAATTGAAAAAGGCATGCCAAACCAGCAAGGAATGAGATGTCATAATAAATGAGAAATGCATGCGAGTTGGCTAACTTTTCCCAGTTTGTTTATCAATTAAGTGGACTGTAAATGTCATGATTGTTTAATTTATAATTATAGGCCACAATAAATAAAGTGCTGCTCATGTTTCCAGGTGCAAATTGACACTGTGTGCAACAAACTGACAGTGTATACCACACTGTTGTATACAACTCATGTATTCAGTGGTCAAGATAAATATTGTTTTTCTTTTTCTTTTTTTTCCTAAAGCGAACAATAAGAAATTAGGACAGACTATTCTGGATTCTTTATCTGGCTTACCAAATACATTTCTATCTCCAAAAGTATGAGCTATTCTTAGAACTGAAAGTAGAACATAATTTAAAGGGTCAGTGGTGTGATTAAGTGTGTCACTTCTGGTATCCCATGAGCCCCTCTGGTAACTGTACAACTGAAGAGCAGGTCCCAGGTTTTTACTTTTCTTTCAAAACCTTCAGCTGTAACTAATAAAATTTTTTAAAATTTGGGGTAGTGCAACAAAAGTCCTTTATTGGTTTCTCTGAACATTTAGGGTCAACTGTTTTACCGCTGCCTTATGATACCCAGTCCTTGGTGGAATACTAAGATGATAGTAATTTTAATGCATAACTAACTAATCACAGTTATCTAATAGATGACTCCTTCATTCAGGATTTATTTATGAAGCACTTTATACATATATGAACCTAGTGATAGTTATCCAGCATGTTCAACATTTGAAGATTATTTCCAACATTATGTGTTGTGGTAAGAAAATAGTGAAAAGTAAAAAAAATAAACACTGTTTTGGGTATCTACTATGCACTACGCTTTGCATTCATTACCTCTTTTAATAGCATTTTTCTTGAGATATAAATATTATTCCCATTTTCTAGATGAAACCGTGCCCATGGTTATACATATACGGAAGTTGAATATAAATTTACTAAATTCTAAAGCCCATAGTGTTCTTTTTGTTAGGACTCTCGTGAAGTGGTAACCCATGCTTCTTGAAGAGGTGCTCATATTTTGTTCCTCAGGAAACATGTATTTATTTGGTAGAGAGGAGGAGAAAGAAACAAGTTTGGGTGAGGTTCTCCATATCAAAGCTATAGAAGTTCCTAAAAATTAGTAAGGTCTCTGGGCAGCACCAATTTTTTTGTTATATTAAAGAGGTAAAAATAAATTAAAGTCAGTTCCATTTAAGCTAGTTATGGGAAGTGTATGTACTTGACAGTTGGCTTACTAATTTTAATGTTTAAATTTTAGCTGTTCCTCACAGCCACATACATTTTCCATATACCAACACATTCCTCTCTCCCCCTCTACCACCTCCATTTCTTTGAATGACCTAGTTTATATCATTTTAGGTCAGCGCACCATGCCTCTGCCAGTAGCTGAGTTTAAGCTTATTTTGAGGCAAATAAAATGTCTGTAGTCAGAGCACATCTATTCATTAATTTGCCTGTAGAGAAGTTTGTTTTAATGTTTTGTGACTAAATCAACCACTTCTGTCCAGCAGGGTACAGATAACTTGTATACATACATACTGATAATACACAATATACAATTAACTGAAGTTCTGGTTTATAAATCCTACATAAAGATCATGTCTCTTTTGCTTACTGTTATACTTAGGGAATATTATGGGTATTTAATGATGAATGAATGAATGAATGAATGGATATTTTGACCAAAAAGACACTTTAAAAATTCATTTCCTTATATTTATAATACAAAACTCAGCCCTGTAATAAAATTAACTTCTAATGGCTATCTCCCTTCATCTGACATTTAAAATAAAGTACAAACATATATGGATAGAAACATAGATTAGACCTATTCTCTTCTCTTTCCTCCAGCCTCTTAAATCAGCTTACTTTGTACCTTTCAGGCAGAACCCTGATATCTATAAATATCCTCTTCCCTATTTAGCAAACCTTGATAATCCTGTGTGTGATCCCCTGTACTCAGGGTTAATATATGCTGTATTGTATTTACATTTGTCTTCCCTAAACCATGCTTGAGATGCCATTTATCATTTTTCTGGTAGAAAATATTCACTGGACTTTCCATTTCTCTGTAATTTCACTTAAAGATGAAGCATGTGGAGTTACTGTTTCCTGATAAGGAAAATTACTCATTACAAATGTGCAAGCTTTGTTTTTTCATACCATTAGATTCATAAAGTTTAGCTATAGTTAGAATTGTTTCTTTCTCATCTATGCTTTGCTTCTCTCCTTTTAAGATAGTTAAAAATTATTTTTCTCAATTATTCAATTTCAGATAAAATGAGTGTGTAAAAAGCCTCAGCCTGCAGAAAGCAGTATTTTTACTTAACTTATTTTTTTTAAAGAGGAGAGACAATGAGGGAGTATAACAACAAAGCAAAACTGAAGCAACAAAACAGCAGCAAACTCAGAGATTCCAAGAAGGGAAGGGGTTGGGGAGGGCAGGTGGGGAGGGAGGGAGAAGGGGATTAAGGGGTATATGATTAGCACATGTAATGTACGTAGGTCACAGTATAGCTCAGAGAAGACAGTAGTAGTGAATCTATAACATCTTACTATGCTGATGGACAGTGACTGTAGTGGGGTGGGGGTGGGGATTGATAATATGGGTGAATGTTGTAACCACAATGTTGCTCATGTGAAACCTTTATAAGATTGTATATCAATGATACCTTAATAAGAAAAAGGGGGAGACATGAGGAAAACCTTGAGACATTTCATTTTGAACCTTGAAAATAGTTTATAGGAAGCAGACTTATTATTTCTACACTAGCAAATAATGCTTGAGAATTTTACCTGTACTGCCACTTACTGTACATGTGACAAATTCCAGTTACTTTAGGATTTTACTGGAAGAGGTAATGAGGACATCTAATCAAGAGCTCAGAAGGAGTGGTACAATGTGTTTTCCCTGTTCTTCACCTTTTTATATCACCAGCCCCTGAGGATTTCAGAATTCTAATTTTAACCATTCTAAAAGGTGGTGTTATAAATGAGTGATTGCAGTATAGCTAATAGAAGCCATGGAGACTTTTCATCATTATACTTTTAAAAAGAAATGGTGTCAAAGTAGTCAAGACCAGATAAGATAAAAACAAAAGAAAAAATGTCATGCCTTAATAAAAAAAAGACCTGTGCATTTTTTGTTTGTTTATTTGAAGTCTGCTCAGTCACTTTTCCTCAAATCTTTTAGTTTAGAATTTGTTTTTCTGTCTTAAATTAAACCTTCCATTTTATTGCTTGAAGAAACTGAGGCATAGAGAAGTTAATGTGGTCCCCTAGCAAGTCAGTGCAAAAACAGCACTCATAGTGATAAAGAGTCTCTGAGGCAGAAAAGAATGCTTAATAATCAGGCATATTTGCATATCATTGTCCAAAGACTCAATTACTGAGAATTATTCCACAGAATTATTATTTGATGTTAGTGAAATTATTATTTGATGTTAGTTTGAATTATTGCTTGGTACAATGTGGATTTTAAAAAATAACCATTTTATATAATTCTAAGACTCAGCTTGAAGTAATTTCTGCTTGGGCTAGGAAGTGAGATTATATGCTCTTTAAACTATGGGATTCTTTGATTCTTGTTGTACCCATGCCTCACTGGAAAAAGACTGTCAGCTGCAGGACAGAACAAATGAACAAATAACTATCTTATAAGCTTTTTTTCTTATGTTAGCTAAAAAGCAACATGGTTAATTTCCATACATTAGAAAAATAATAAAAACAAGAAACAAATATTAGATTACCAGTCCAAAATACCCCAGTTACATTTTGATGCTTTTTGCTTCATGAGTGACTTTTACAATTCCCTAACTTCTCTATCAGATTCTTCATCTGAAAAACATAGATAATCTGTACTGTGCACCTATCATGTAAGGGTCATGTGAAAGATGATGATAGAGTATTTTGAGCAGTGAAATCTTAAATGTGAACTGAAATAGTCTTAAACAGAGAACCCAGACACAATTTTACACAAATCTTTTTGTACTTTTTTGTACAGTATGTTGAACTCTTTCATTAACTTGGTTGGATAATTCTCTTTAATCAACAGCTGTTATCTGGTATCTGTCTAATAAGTGCCAGGCATTGCAGGAGACAGAAGGTAGAGTCCTTACCTGCAAGAAACTTCCCTCTAGTAAAGGAGAAAAATACAAAAATAAATTACATGCAGTCCTATATGATGAGTGCTCTACTCTAAGTATATATAAAGAGCTTTAAGAACTTGAGTTTGGTAGTAGTTTGTACTCCCAGGAAATTTAGGGTGACTACTAAGCTGGGTTAATAGGAGGAGAAGAAATAAGCCAGGCTAATTAAGTTGTTGAATTTACTAAAGTACTTCTGCCAAAACTTGGAAGGAAGAAATAAGTGGAAAAAATGACATTAAACTGGAGAATGATACTAATAGGTCTCTACAACCAGTAATTTTTTCAAAGAAGAGAAGATGTTCATTAGAACATATATCCAGTAATGTCAAAATCAGTGCTCTAAAAATAATATCTCTTTTTCATGGTTGTTCAAGGGCTTACTCTCAATTTTACGCAAATTGAAAAGTGCACCAGACCAGGAGGTAAGAATCCTTCTCCTGGGCTTGGACAATGCTGGCAAGACCACTCTCCTGAAGCAGCTCGCGTCTGAAGACATCAGCCACATCACGCCCACACAGGTGAGCACTGCCTCAGCTGTGGACGCTTGGATGACACAGGAAGATGGAAACAGCAATACGAAAGACAAAATGGGAAATACAGTTTTGTCCATTTCTAAGTTTTGTTTCTGAGAAAAGTTTATGCAATTTAAAAATAATCTCTAATTTCAAAAACATACCCAGAGAATTCATTCATATGAGGTACTTACTTATCAAATTCACAGAGACAGGAAGTAGAATAGTGATCACTTGGGACTGGGGGATTGTTTAATAGGCACAGAGTCATGTTGCAAGACGATGGGTGGAGGTGGTGCTGGCTTCACCACAGTGTATGTACTTAATGCCACTGAGCTGTGCACTTAAAATGGTGAAAATGGTAAATTTTATGTATATTATATAATTTAAAAAAGTAAATATTCATGATATGTATCAGTTCCCTCAGATTAAGTGATTGCTTTTTAAAATTAGCTTATCTTCTCTGATTAGGAAATTAATATATATATAAAATACAGAGAAAGTATAATGAAAAAAAACAGTACTGTGAGAAATACTACTGTTAATATTTCAGTGTGTATTTTTCAGACTTAATAATTATAAATATATATCAATTTTTTAAATAAAAAAGCAATTACCTATATTTTTTAATCCAGCCTCATTAACTTTCCTCTTTCCTAAGGCCAACAAACAAGTGAAACATAAAGGATAAGGCAGCGGTGTTCCTCTTAGTGTAGAAGTTGAAAGACAAATCCTGATTGGCACAACCCCAGTAGGCTTGTTTAGACCTATAGGAAGTCCTGAGAAAATGTGACCTTTGGCCAAGTCTTTGGGTTTCCTAACTAGGGACAGCACAGCCCTGTGGGTCTTAGTCACTTTCGAGCGGTTGGACATTAGAGGTTTTAGCAAAACCGGAGTTACTTGGCATTTTATGTCACTGGACTGTGATAAGACCTTGGTGTGCAGTTTGAATGGCTGCACTGGTATGTGTACTTCATGCTCTTTAAGTCTTACTGATTCACAACTCTTTGCAGGAAAGTCATTCAACTGCTACCAAATGAGCAACTTTACAGCCTCTGAAAAAATTTAATGTATAGCCTAAGGAGGAGCAAATGACAGTAGTCTAGCCTAGAAGGGCTGAAAACATGTATTAGTGTGTCAAGATTTTTGCCAGAAAAAGAAGGGCTAGGTTTTTTTCTTTTAGTATTAGCAACATAGGCTGTATCTCTCAAGAACACAACTAAAATGAGGACTTCCCACTGTGAAGATGGGAATGAACTCTTACATTATGGGTCCAAAGTTCTAACTTTCAGGCTCTGTTTGATGTGTTTTGGTGACCCTGTTATTAGATTACATCAAGGTTTCATATTCTTGAAACAGATTTTTGTTATGTTTTTGTTTTATATTTTAAAAAGCAATAGATGTTTTTTGTAGTAAATTTAGGAAGTATAAATAAGTAGAATTGAGAAACTAGAAACCACCTATAATGCCCAGTTGGACATAACTACTGTTAACATTTAAGAATAATCCATTCACATTTTTTTTCAATGCATATATATGAGCATATTTAAAATAAATAAATATGACTTATAGAGAATATACTGCTTGATATTCACTTAAGAATAATGATGTATCTTGATCATCTTTCCATATTATTATATATATAAGTACTTAAGCAATGCACATCTCTAAATGCTTGTGCCCATTCATTATTATTTCCTAAAATAATTTCTTGGTAAATTTGTTGGGTCTCTGATGACTTACAGAATTTTAAGGCAATTGATACATATGGTCAGATTCCAGGATTTACTCTTACTTATTCCCTGCTTCATTTCAGAAGGATTTGATGTTACAGGGTTTGACATTTAATATTTTAGTTAAGTGAAGAATTTTTAAGCACACAAAATTGGTTTTGTCAGTGAGTCAGAGTGAAGCTGCCTTTTACAATAAGCTTAAGCCACTTCCCTGTAGAATCCTTAGCCTTCTAGTTTATTCAGCCACTGGTGTTTCAGAGGAGCTATAGCCAGCCTTGCCCCAGTTCTGCCACCTCAGCGGAGTTCAGGTGGCGGTGCTCCTGGACTGTTGCACGGTGCCTTATCCCTCTGTGCTAGGCAGTCATATTGGCAAGCTGCTGGATGAGGCAGTGCTTATGGATCCATTCCCCGACTCACTCACCTCCAGTTCATCTGGATGAAATGTCACTTCTGTGGTAGCAAGCTGTTGATTAGATTTTTCAAGTCCTGATTTCACTGTTCATTCATGCAAGATTTGTTTTTTGGATTCCTGCTGATGAAATAAATGCCTTCTCTCTGCACCCCAAAGGTCTTATTAATCCGTTTCTCTGCACACTAACTCCCAGCTCACAATTCTGCCTGCCCCTGATTTGCTCACCTTCCTCAAAGTTCCACCTTGAGTCACTGTCCTGAAAACAAATACTTTCTTTTCAAGTTCTTCAGAGATGCCTATTAAAGAGCAGTTTCGAATGCCTATTTGTTTTCATCAGTGCCTGCAACTGAGGGCTAGACTTCAAAGCTAGAACATGCTGTTTCCACAGGCCCTGCCTTCCTCACTGAGCTGATACTCCAGTTACAAACCAACCTCCCCTGTAGTGTCCTGAGTTCAGCTCCTTCCTTTTCCTAATTAATCCATGGGAGGAAATCTTGGAAATTTTGAGCTGCTCTTAAGTAACCTAGTCTTCCAGATTTGTAGCTCTTTAAATTTAGAATTTGTCCTGTCCTGTTGAGAATTCAGGTTCTTGTTCTGTTTTTTATTAGTTATATCTAATGTCCCATTAAATTTTACCATCCCGAGGACTCATCGGGGGGAGTGGTCTGTGTTGATTATAAGAGCTATTCTCAAAGCAGTGTGTCCTCAGCAGATGTGTGTGTGTGTGTGTACACTCATTATAGAAAGCATCATGTTAGCCATGACATTATTAACACTGACTCCATAACCTGAATGAAGTAAGCAGCATGTATAAATACATTTCCTTCTTCCCTAGTACATCAAACTTTTCAGCATTACCAGTGTCACATCCGGCAAAGTATGTCATAATTAATAAATAACATGGCTGTTAAATGTAGCTTTGTCAGAATTATGACCTAAAAGTTTAATAAAACTTGGTGCTTTTGCCTCTGTTTCAGGGTTTTAACATCAAAAGTGTACAATCACAAGGTTTTAAACTGAACGTATGGGACATTGGTGGACAGAGGAAAATCAGACCATACTGGAGGAATTATTTTGAAAATACTGATATTCTTGTAAGTATTCCTACTGATGCACTAACTCATAGTCCTTTCTGCCATGTGTTAGAAACATTAACATGTAGTGTTCTTTCTTGTCAGTAATTCCATTGCCATAACATTAGTCACTATGAATGTAGGGCTAGCAAAAGGCTACTGATTGTAAGGGAGAAAAATCTTTGTAGGACTTGTGTAAGGTATTTTACTTTTGCCTAGTAGCAATGTGCCCACACCCACTTTGGCAGAATATTTATTGATTACCATAGTGATTTGAACAGCAGAAGGGAAGTTGGAAGATGCCACCGACTCCATTATCCCAAGGAGATCAATAAATCAAGTGCATCCCAAGAAAGCAACCAAGATATTGAAAGTCCTGGCAACAATGGTGTATATGGTTAAAAGACCTGATGGTGTTCTTCCTAGAAAAGCAAATGCTTGGAACTATCTTCAGTTGCTTCAAGAACCTTCTTAAGTCAGAGAGATTAGCCTCATCATGAACAGTTGTAGAGGACTGGGTGAGGAGTAGTTGGGGGCATGTGAGGTGGTAGAGTTTAACTCAGAATGAGGATGAAGTTCCCTATCATTTTAACTGTCCAGAAGTAGAAGCCACCATGCACTGGGGATGCCCTGGCTCAGGCAGCATTTGTTCAGGATGAGACTGAGACTTCAGTGCCCAGCTCACTGTTACATTCTCCAGGACCACTATTTCAGAATTCTTGGGGAGTTCACTGTCTGCATACAGTGGTCCCCCTTTCCCTGCAGTTTTGTGTTCCATGGCTTCACTTACCTATGGTCAGCTGGCCTGGAAACAGGTGATACTCCTGACATAGCGTCAGAAGGTCATAGTAGCCTAAGGCTACATCACAATGCCTGTGTCATTCACCTCACTTCATCTCATCACGTAGGCATTTTTATCATCTCATCATCACAAGAATAAGATTTTGAGAGACAGCGAGACCATAATTTTATTACAGTATATTGTTAGAATTGTTATGTTTTATTATTAGTTGTTGTTAATCTCCCAACCTCCAAATGTTGGGAGTGCCCGAGTTCAGGCCTGTGCTTTTTCTTCTCTAAGTCACTGCTTTGGCGACCTTATCCAATCCCAAGGTGAATCCTGGTGAATCCCAAACTTATTATCTCCAACTGAGAACTCTTCCTGGAACTTTGCTGCCTATTTGACCTCTCCACTTCAGTGGCTACTTAAGTCGCCTGAACTGCAACACACCCAAAACCAAATTCCTGTCTTCATCTCTCCCTGCCCAAACCTGCCCTTCCTACCATCTGCTCAGTAAATGGCAGTTCCGTTCATCCAGAAGCACTGGAGTCATCCTTGGCTCCTTTTCCTCTCATACCCCACATCCAGCCCAAATCCTGTCAATTCTGCCTTCAAAATATTTCTAGAATCAGGCCACTTCTTTCCATGTCCACTGCTGCTGTGCTTTGATTGTTGCAGTATCATCCTAACTAGTCTCCTTACTTCTGCCTTGCTTCCCTGAGCTCTCTTTGCAACACTATAGCATAGGATCCTTATGAAATATAAGCTTCCCATCTCAGAATAAAAGTCAAAGTTCTTTAGTGATCTAAAGGGCCTTCTCCCTTTTGGCTTTTCTTGCCCATCTTCCTCATCTCTCCTCTCTCTGACTTGGTGCCAGCCACACCAGCCTGCTTGCTGTTCCTGGAACTCTGGCATGCTCCCTCCCTTGTCATTGCTGCTTACAGTGCCAGCAGTTTTTTTTCCTTATATCCTCATGGCTTAGCCTCTCACCTCCTTCAGATCTTCGCTCACATGTCCCTTACCACTGAGACTTTCTGATTACTGTATTTGGAACTGGGACTCCTCTCCCCACCCTTCTGACACTTCGATTGTCCCTGCTTGATCTTCTTTTTTTTCCTACTTCCATCAGACCTGTCAGGACCTATCACTATCAGACATACTTTTATTTTTATCTTTAGAGTTACAGAACTTCTAAATTCTCTTCCAGCTCTGAGATTCTGTGATTCTGTACCACTGTGATCAAGTCCAAAGGGCTTGTTAATTCCTTCTATAAAATGGGTAGAGCAATTACTTCATGGTGGTGGAGGAGGGGTTTTGAAAAGTAGTGAACTCATTCACTCTCCACAATCCTTAAATGGAGAATAATACCAAAATATAAAATTGTGCTATCATGAAATCAGTTAACACATTTGAGATACTGAGATGAGTGTCCCACAGGTTTATCTTGTTTCTGGCCCTCAGTGAAGGTAAGTTCCTATATATTCCTGGTGCCAGGTTGAAGATTTAAATGGATGAGAATAAAAAGATGAGACACATGCATCCATCAGTTTATCCATCTATTCAATCAGTTATTCTTCCAAAATGTATTATATACTGTCTGGGAGGATAGAAGAGAAATGTCAGAGGAAAAAAAACGTTTCCATTTAAAATAGAAAGAAACTTCTTTTGTAATCTTAAATAATGTGTCCATTCTTAAAATAAAATTTTTTAATTTTAGAAATTTTCAAATGTATGCAAAGATCAAGAAAGTAGTATAATGAAACCCCAGATACCTACCTACCCATTACCCAGCTTCCTTAAGTTTTGGCAATCTTGTTTCATCTCTCCTACCACCACTTTTTTTTAAAGTATTTTAAAGCAAATCCAAGAAAGCTATTATATTATTTCACTCACAAAAAACTGGAATGTAAATTTGAAAGATCAGTCTCTCAGTTGTGATATGAAACTACATATTAGAAAGCCTGACCATTAAAAGTCTTTCAAATATCAAAAGCTAACAAAGTAGCTCCTTGAACTAATAAGTGATTATAGCAAATTTGCAGGATACGGGCCAATATACAAAAATCAGTTGCTTTCCGGTGGAGAAAGACAAGTACCAAATAATTTCACTCATGTGTGGAGTATAAGAACAAAGGAAAACTGAAGGAACAAAACAGCAGCAGAATCACAGAACCCAAGAATGGACTAACAGTTACCAAAGGGAAAGGGACTGGGGAGGATGGGAGGGAAGAGAGGGACAAGGGCGGAGAAAAAGAAATGGAGCATTACGATTAGCATGTATAGTGTGGGGGGGTACAGGGAGGGCTGTGCAACACAGAGAAGACAAGTAGTGATTTTACGCTGATGGACAGTGACTGTGAAGGGGTATGTTGGGGGGGACTTGGTGAAGGGGGGAGCCTAGTAAACATAATGTTCTTCATGTAATTGTAGATTGATGAAACCAAAATAAAAATAAAATCAAATAATAAAATAAAATAAAATATAAATAAAATATAATATAATATAATATAATAAAATAATAAAATAAAATAAAATAAAATAAAATAAAATAAAATAAAATAATAAATACAGTTGCTTTCCTATATACCTGCAATGAACAATTGGAATTTTAAATGAAAAGCAAAATATCATTTATATTAGCACCCCCAAAAAAGAAATACTTAAGGATAAATCTAACAAAATATGTACATAATCTATATGAAGAAAACTAATAAAAGAAACCAAAGAAGATAGAAATAAATGGGGAGGTACTTCCTGTTAATGGATTGGAAGGCTCAATATTGTTATGGTGTCAGTTCTTCCCAACTTGATCTATAGGTTATATAGACCAACTATAGATTCAGTGTAATCCCAGTCAAAATTCTAGCAAGTTTTTTTGTGGATATTGACAAACCAATTCTAAAGTTCACATGGAAAGGCAAAAGATACACAATAGCCAGCACACTACTAAAGAAGAACAGAGTTGGAGGACTGATACTACCTGATTTCAAGACTTTATAAAGCTACAGTAATCAAGAGAGCATTTATTGGAGAAACAATAAACAAATTAATCAATGGAACAGGATAGTAAGCACAAAAGTAGGCTATGCTTCTACTGATCTTTGACAAAGGTGCTGAACAGTTCAACAGAGGAAGGATAGTCTTCAACAAATGGTTCCAGAGCAATGGGATATTCATATGTCAAAAAATAATAATGTGGACACAGTTCTTAGCCTGTTAACAAAAATTAACTCAAAATGGGTCTTAGACCTAAATGTAAAAACCTAAAACTATAAAATTTCCAGGAGGTAATATAGGAGAAAAATCTAGGTGACCTTGAGTTTGACAGTGAGGTTTTAGATAAAACACCAAAAGCATGTCATGAAAGAAAAAAAATTGTAAGTTGGACTTCATTAGAATTTATAACTTCTGCTTTAAGGAAGAGTCTATTAAGAGAATGATGATGAGCCACAAAGAACTCTTAAAACTCAACAATAAAACAAACAACCTAATTAAAAATGGGCAAAAGATCTGAACAGACAACTCACCAGAGAAGATACACATATAAGCATGTGAAAATTCAACTTTGTATGCCATCAGGAAATTGCAAGTTAAAACAACAGTGAAATGCACTACATACTACCTACTAGAAAAGCTAAAATCCAAAAAAACTGACAATACCAAATGCTGACAAGGATATAGAGCAATAGGAATTCCTATCCATTGCTGTTGGCAATGAAAAATGGCATAACCACTTTAGAAAACAGTTTTCAGTTTCTTACAAAGTTAAACACACATGCTATGTGATCCAGCAATCACTCTTCAAGGTATCTACCCTATTAGTTGAAAACTTATGTCCAAATAAAATCCTTCACACCAGTATTTATATAGCAGCTTTATTCATAACTACCAAAAATTTAAAGCAACCAAAATGTCTTTCAGTAGGTGAATGAATAAACTGTTACATCCATATAGTAGAACATTAGTCAGTGATAAAAAAAAAAATGAGCTATGAACCCACAAAAAGACATGGAAGCTCTTTCCCCCATCTTGGAGTTTGTGGAGGCCTGCTGAGAACAGGACTTCTAAACCAACTTATATGTCTGGAAGGCTATGGTCCAAGGCCATTTTTGCTGGCTATAAGCCGGGTCTCCAGAACCAGAGGGAGCACACAGCTCTTCTTAAAATTCGAGGTGTTTATGCTCAAGATGAAACTGAATTCTGTCTAGGCAAGAGATGGGCTTATGTATACCAAAGTAGA